TTTCCGGTTCGATTACCCTCTAGCTATTGTTGCCCAATAATATAGATTAAGAAAGCCGGTTAGGACTCGAGACTAAACACAAAACAAGGTAAATATGCCTTGGACCTCCTCTAATAAATTATAACTATATTTTCCCTGATATAGCTGTCATATTTTGGATTACTGCTATTATTTGTGAGTGCCCTTTGACAGATGTAGTTGAAGGGAGAGAAGAAGAAGAAGAATTAAGACTAGTTACCTAGTACACCAGTACATGGTGTTGATGACAACCTGAACCACGAGGCTTACTTGGTGTGATCATCCTTGTTCATAACTGGAAGACCAGTCCCACTATATAACGGTAAGACTTCCTCAATATTACCTAATACCTTGTAGTTGTAATTTAACACCTAGCATTAATATTGTAGTGAATGTCTACTGTGACGGTGCCCATCCTTCATCTTTAATATTCCAGCATAAAGAGTCATATCTCTGCAATCTCCACGTTCTCTGATGCTCAGGGAGCATTTTGGTATTTATGAAGGTAATCTGAGTCGTAGATGGTGTGGGAGATGAATATACTATTTTAGTTTTGTCCCTACAAGTGGCTTACTTCCTTTTGTAATGCAAAATGGCACTGAGGAGGAGTACAAAACACACTACAACTTGCCCATAGTAGGAAAGCATCATGTAAAGGATTTGGGAATAATGATGTCTGATGACTTAACGTTTAGGGAGAATAACCAAGCAAATATTGCGTCAGCCAGAAAAATGATAGGATGGATTACGAGAACTTTCAAATCCAGGGATCCCATCACAATGGTTGTACTGTTGCCGCCTTCTGACAGTTCTACATATTATTTACTTATGTGATCCAGTGTAGACTTTTTTAGTAAACTTATCACTATTTTTATCATCGAGTTTGAGTGTGTCCACCATCTCTATGGCGAGTCGAGTAAGTTATTTAACATTGAACAGCATTATATCTGGTATCGAGTCCTTGGCTTATGACAATTAGTAAGACCACTGAGAAGTGTTGCTGGGGCGAGAATTACTCCCCAGCTGGCGACCTGGTGGGCAGTGTGAGCGGAACTCAGCCGTGCGTCAACCTGTCCTCTTAAAAAGAACGTCGCTTTTGGCCGTTTGCCCGTATGGCCGAATTTGGATGTAATTTGAAAATGAAAAAAAAAAAATGAAAATAAATTGGGGATTTTTTTTCAACAACAGTTATTTAAGGGTCCTCGGCAAGATAGGTTAGGTACTGGCAGTTGGTCTCGGTGACGTCAGAGACCAGGTCGTGCCTCCTCACTCCCCATGTGCACAAGGTCGTGCCTCCTCACTCCCCATGTGCACAAGGTCGTGCCTCCTCACTCCCCATGTGCACAAGGTCGTGCCTCCTCACTCCCCATGAAGGTCGTGCCTCCTCACTCCCGTACCTCCTCACTCCCCATGTGCACAAGGTCGTGCCTCCTCACTCCCCATGTGCACAAGGTCGTGCCTCCTCACTCCCCATGTGCAAAACGTTAATTTAAAGTGTCCTCTTATAACCTCTGCGCGTACGCCGGACGACTCAAAGAGAAAACGGAACAGAACGTCACTTTTGTGAGTCGATTTAAGACGTTACTGAGTTGGTCTCGGTGACGTCAGAGACCAGGTCGTGCCTCCTCACTCCCCATGTGCACAAGGTCGTGCCTCCTCACTCCCCATGTGCACAAGGTCGTGCCTCCTCACTCCCCATGTGCACAAGGTCGTGCCTCCTCACTCCCCAAGGGCACAAGGTCGTGCCTCCTCACTCCCCATGTGCACAAGGTCGTGCCTCCTCACTCCCCATGTGCACAAGGTCGTGCCTCCTCACTCCCCATGTGCACAAGGTCGTGCCTCCTCACTCCCCAAGTGCACAAGGTCGTGCCTCCTCACTCCCCATGTGCACAAGGTCGTGCCTCCTCACTCCCCATGTGCACAAGGTCGTGCCTCCTCACTCCCCATGTGCACAAGGTCGTGCCTCCTCACTCCCCAAGTGCACAAGGTCGTGCCTCCTCACTCCCCATGTGCACAAGGTCGTGCCTCCTCACTCCCCATGTGCACAAGGTCGTGCCTCCTCACTCCCCATGTGCACAAGGTCGTGCCTCCTCACTCCCCATGTGCACAAGGTCGTGCCTCCTCACTCCCCATGTGCACAAGGTCGTGCCTCCTCACTCCCCATGTGCACAAGGTCGTGCCTCCTCACTCCCCATGTGCACAAGGTCGTGCCTCCTCACTCCCCATGTGCACAAGGTCGTGCCTCCTCACTCCCCATGTGCACAAGGTCGTGCCTCCTCACTCCCCATGTGCACAAGGTCGTGTCATGGGCAGTGACACAGTGGAACAACTGAAGGCTCCCTGGGGGTGGGTAGTGGCACGCAAGTCACAGGAGTGGGAAGTCCCACAGGAAGAGGCGACATCGTGGACCTCCGCCCCCCCCCCAAGACACCACCAATTTTTAATTTTGATTGATAGACTATATATATAAACCATAAACCCCTAGAATGTGTAAGGAAGCGATTTGTGGGAATTTTTAAATTGTACAGTCCACTGTAAACATCATAGTTTGCTATCGAAAAATATAAATTATTGTATAATATAAATTACTATACAAATTAATATAAATCTCACAAATCATTTTCCCCACATCTTGTTGGTTGGGGAAGTTGTGGCCCAGGAGAAGTTGAATTCCTGCCATTGGGGAAAGATTTTTCCAGAATGGCGACTTGGACTTCTCCACTGAAATATGGACCAACCAGGTGAACCACGACTAGTGGGTAAGGTGTCGGTGATCAGGACGGTTCTCCAGCGTAAGTGACTTGAGGTGCAGCTTGCACCTGTCTTGTTAAATCAAGTAAGATCAGTGACGGGAACATTTACATGCAATACAGGCTTATTATTAGGCTTGGGAGGTTTAGGCTTTGGTGGGTCAGTGTTGGTGTCACAGTGAGCATTTGAACACTTTTCTACGGTTTGTCCGTAAGTGTTGCAGCGCCTGCAGTAGAGTGTATAGTTAGCCTCCTTTGATCTGACATTACATGGAGAATAGCTAGACCAAAATGGTTTACTGGAATAGAAGTAAAAAACTGTGCATGAGACTATAGGCGTCAGCTAACTGTACACATGTACTGAGGTTCGTCTCTCCCTAATCAGCAAGATACAGTCCCACAAGGTTAAGAATACGTCACATAAATTCTTCCACTAAGGGGCGCCTAACAGCTGGGTGGGCAGCGCTTCGGATTCGTAGTCCTGAGTTTCCGGGTTCGATCCCCAGTGGATTCGGAAACAAATGGGCAAAATGTTTCTTTCACCCAGATGCCCCCTGTTCACCTAGCAGTAAATAGGTACCTGGGAGTTAGACAGTTGCTACGGGCTGCTTCCCGGGGGGATGTGTAACAAAAAGGAGGCCTGGTCGAGGACGCTGGGGACGCTAAGCCCCGAAATCATCTCAAGATAACCTTAAGATAGACGATAATGAGAGTTATCAAGCGCTCAGATGAATTTATTGGTGCTGATTGTAGCCACTTCATAAAATATCTACCTTTTGTTTGCACGTATTCAAAATAAGTTTGAGCATTGGTTGTTACATCGTCCCTGAAGCGTCAGAGAACACTGTATCAGAGGTCCGCGGTTGTTCAACACCCTCCCAGTGAGCATAAGAAATATTGCCCAAACAACAGTGGACATCTTCAAGAGGAAACTAGATTGTTTCCTCCAAGGAGTGCCGGACCAGCCGGGCTGTGATGGGTATGTGGGTCTGCAGGCCGCTCCATGCAACAGCCTAGTGGACCAAACTCTCGCAAGTCAATCCTGGCCTCGGGCCGAGTTTGGGGAGTAGAAGAACTCCCAGAACCCCATCAACCTTATGTTTTAACACACCGTAACCTGTGTCGGTGGCAAGAGTACCGAGTGTCAAGGCGGCTCTTCCTCTGAGATGAGCTCTGAGAAGTACTGATCATTGGTTCCTAGGCCAGTGTAGTGGGGTTAAAAGGGCTTCGAGCGATGTTAAAAATGAGCCTACCTCCGTCTCTACAAAAGGCGGCAGTTATTTTAATACAATTTGAAGGGTCGAAACATACCAGTAAGTTGGCTCCAGCTTGCTGGCGCTGCTCGAAGTGGGTGGTTACCAATCCCCACTGCTGCCGTCGGAAGTCAAGAGCGGCGGCTGCTTTCTCTCGTTCTACGCGTAAGATTATTTCAGCTTCATTTTCTTCTTGTCGTTGTTTGAGTTCAATTTCTTGAGCTAGGAGCTGGAGTCGTTCTTGTTCTCGTTGACGTTGAAGTTCAGCGTCTTGTTCTTGGAGCCGGAGTTTCTCTT